GGATCTAAGGTCCTGTCACTGTCAGGGTCTGTGATGTCTGTGGCCTGTGTTGCCACCAAAGGTCACACAGATAGCCAGGGTCTAAGTTGCATCATGTGGCCATGTTGGCTGTGCTGCCACTAGGGCCATGGTGTTGTCTGGCTCAGGGTCATGCTGAGCCATTCCTGTCCCTCACTGGCTCCGGGGTAGTTGGCCCTGCTCCTCTCTGGACACTATAGCAGGAGAGCTGGTACTCTCCACTCCCCATGGGAGAGCTGACCCCAGAACTCGAGAGAGATGTCCCCATCCTTCACCACAGGTCTAGGAGAGTAACTTAGACCCACCAGCCTAACTACCATCCAGACCCACATCCTGGGCCTTGGGTTGGCTCACCATAACTGCTGCCAAAGGGACTGGTCCTACGGAACCATAGCTGCAGAATTTCCATGACTCGGGTCAACAATAGGATATCTGAGAGAAGATGAGGATCCAGACCAGTGATGGTGGTGTACCAGGCACCAGAAGCCTTGAACCAGACAGGTGACTCATTGCAATGAACATTTTGCAGGTGGAGCTGATTGGACATATGTGCCAAAGTCTTTAATAAAGATGCTACAAGCGAGTTGCTTGAATCAGAATGTCATTAACAGGTAGCTGAGCCCACTCTCTAATTGTGTCCTTGACTGTCACCCACAGTCCTGATGCCTCACCGGGTGGAAAATGTTCTTTGTACACACGCACTCAAGCACATCCTATATAAAAGACCATCTCTGCCTCCAGCCCTCCTTTCAAAAGTCCACTATCAAGTATTTCTTTAATTAGACTTTTTTGAGATAGGTTCTCACTATGTAATGCTGGCTTGCCTGGAACTTACAGATCTGCTTGCTTCTACCTCCTGAACACTGGGATTAAAGGCTTGCCCTGCTAAACCCTTTTTAAAAAATTTAAACATAATTCTTTATTGATTCTTTGGAAATTTCACATCATGCACCCCACTCCTGCTTGCCTCCCACTTCCTCCATATTTGCTCCTTACCTCTTCAGTATAGCCCCCCAAATTAACTAAAAACAAAGCAAAACAACAACAATAACAACAAAAACTACCTAGTTCCTCCATCTTTCCATTACCTCCTCATTCATCTTAATGGCATCTGGAGCTGTCACTTGCAGCATCTTTATTAAAGGATTTGGCACACATGCTGTAATGGCTACCTGACAGAACCACACTGGCTGAATTTACAAGGCACAGGGGAACTCCAGCTATACGGCAAACAATGGAGAGAAAAACTCCCAATGGCTTTCTGTCACGAATTAGACCTTTCACCCCGCCCCAGCTCTAATGAATTCTCACAGTGTGGCATTAGAAGAATTATTCCCAGTAATGCAAGCTTGCTGAAATGTCAGTTTCCAGACTGGTCCTAGAAATGCTGGATTTGCTCCACTCAATTTTCAGGACATTCCTTGAGGAACCCTGCTGCAGTGTGCCCAAGAACTGGAGAGTGGGAGCCCTCATCTAGAATGAAACATTCCTGGCATTGGGTGCAGTGGTTGGGATTTTTCTCCTGCTCCATCCAATCTAGAAGTATCAGGAAAATTGTAGGTCTCCCTTTTAATCAGGTAGGAGTACTTGGAGGTCTGAACTGAAATCTAAGCCCTATCAGGTATGTCCAACACTCAGGCCTTACTCACCTTAGAAACTATGAATCTGCTCCAACACAACATTGTAAATTTGCATACAAGATCATGAGAATGTTTTTGTAATTTTTTCTGTAAATTGGTTATAAGGTCCTGAAGCATGTTTGTGAGTTCTTGAAGTGTGAACTTTGTAGAATATGATTGTCATGTTGCAATGTCAAAGACTGGACTGTCTTGACTTGGGTCACAGCTGCATGTATGTGCTCTTATAGTTCTTGGAAGAATTGCAGCCAGAGGGAGTCTTGGACCTTACCTCCTGTGATCATATTCTCATCTTAAAACGGTTTGATAAGAATTTCACTGGTCAATGACTGGAGGGATGGCTCAGCAGTTAAGAATTTCACTGGTCAATTATCTGTGGAAATAAAGAGTTTTGGAATTACCCACTTTTGTTATTGACCTTTGTATTCAAATGTTTTTCAGGGGTTGGCATCACAACTGGGCCTCAGCTCTTAGAAGTTTAGACTTTAGTGAGTATGGAGTCGTAGCAAAGAATAACAGCACCTACTGGAGCACCATCACAACGGAGAAGTGGGACAGTAGTCAGGTATGGCTGAGAGCTTACATCCACAAGCTGGAAATGGAGTGAGTGAACTAGAAATGGCTGTTGCTTTTACACTCTGTCTTCCAAGCTCCTACAGGATAGACTATTAAAGCTCTGCTTAAAGTTCAGCTGATTTTCTAGTTCACAGTCCCAAAATCTCCCACAGTCTTCCAAACACCAACACGGTCAGGTTCTTCATAGTAATTACCCACTCCCTGGTACTAGCTGTGTATTAGTTACTTTTTCATTGCTGTGATAAAACACCATGCTCGAGGAAACTCACTGAAGAAAGAGTTTATTTTTGGTCTTACAGTTCCAAAAGGTCAGAGGCCATAAAGACGGGGACAGCAGGAGGCAGACACGGTGGTGGCTGGAGCTGGAAGGTGAGAGCAGAGGGTTCACATCTCAGATTGCAAGCAGGAAGTTGAGAGAGTGCACTCAAAATGCTTCGAGTCTTTTAAAACCTTCACATCTACCCCAAGTAGCTGGCGTTGGTGGCACATGCCTTTAATCCCAGCACTGGGTTGGCTGATCCAGTCCTGAAGGGAAACAGCTCACAAAAAGACGATCTTAGTGCTTGGGATCACACGCCTTTAATCCCAGCATTGGGGTGGCTGATCCAATCCTAAAGGGAAACAGCTCCCAAAAAGACGCTCTTAGTGCTTGGGATCACACACCTTTAATCCCAGCACTGGGGTGGCTGATCCAGTCCTGAAGGGAAACAGCTCACAAAAAGACGATTTTAGTGCTTGGGATCACACGCCTTTAATCCCAGCATTGGGGTGGCTGATCCAATCCTGAAGGGAAACAGCTCACAAAAAGATGATCTTAATGCTTGGGATCACATACCTTTAATCCCAGCACTGGGGTGGCTGATCCAGTCCTGAAGGGAAACAGCTCACAAAAAGATGATCTTAATGCTTGGGATCACACGCCTTTAATCCTAGCACTAGAGAGGTATAAAAAGCAAAGGGTCTCATAGAGATTCATTCTTCCACTACAGGAGAGACAGCAGTCAGGAGCGTGGTGGAGAGCTTGTGGAGACAGGATCAGCCCTTTGAGGCTGAGGTAGAGGTAAGATCTACTGGCTTGGCTGCTTTGCTTTTCTGATCTTCAGCTTGAAGCTTGAACCCAATACCAGTCTCTGAGGTTTTTGTTTGTTTGTTTTTTGTTTTTCTCTTGTGTTTCACCACCACCACATCTCACTGTGAGCTCTGTAAATTGGACAGTGCATCATGGGTACTTCATCTACTTGCAAATGTTTAATGCAAGTACCTACACTTAATCTTTAAAGCCCATTCCTGGGGCATGCCAGGCTCCTCTTATTTCCTTCTCTCAGATTCTTCTATTTTTATTTATCCCTTCCACTTGAACCAAGCCTAAAGCAGTTCTCAGATACTTGCTTATTATACTCTTTAGGCTTGTTTCCAAGCTGTTACAGGAGAATGCAACCTTCCTTTTCAGTGTGTGCCTGGTCTTTCCCATCACATTAGTTTTGCCAGCAGATCTCAGGGACCTGACAGTTTCCCCCAGACCTTATGCAGCACAGAGACAGACTTTCTGCAATTTTGTGCATAGCTCTGGTGTGTGATTCAATAAATTACTTGCCATTCTTCCAATACCTTACTGTTTCTCTTCAGCAAATGTTCATTCAACCAAAGCCTACTGACATCCCACAGTATGTCGTGCATATAAAATGAAAAATGCACTCTCTCGTATTCACCAATTATGCTTCAGTAAATTTGGGGGGAAAGCAGTATTTTTGTCTAGGAGGAGTTCAGTTTGTAGTCTACAAAACATGCATCTATCTAATGGTACAGGATCTGCGTATCACACACTGTGAAATTGAGAAACGGGCTTTCCCCGGGGATGACTCCCAGGAAGTAACATTTCCATTAGTTTTTGTTCATAAGTAGAAGTTTGCCAACCTAAGGACAGGGCCAGAGTAAAGTACAGGGAAAATGGAGTGTCTATTGTGGATTGGTTTCAAATAGTGTCTGAAATGGGATGGGGTAGAGCCTGGAGCCTTCAGACAGGTAGATGGGATTGGTGTGCAGGGTTTACAGAATACTGGATACGGAAAGATCAAACTGAGAACCCAGTTGAAGCAGAGGGTAGAATTTCATTCTAAAGGCAAGCGGGAGAGGAAACTGTTTAATAACCAGTTTTGTTTCTTACACGTTGGGTCTTACTGATCCAACTAGCTAGCATACTGGTTTTGACGTCTGAAAGAGTGTATTCTGCTTGTGCAAGCAGAAGATCTTGATTTTCACGTCTCGGCACGGCCTGTGTCCAGTATACTCATTTGTACTCTAGGGCCCACTTGTGTCAATGACGTTGGGCCACGAATGTGATTTTATGCCTCGCCTCTTCAGCTAGGGCTGGGTAAATACACACAGCTTTTGTCTGTCTAAACCATAGATTTTCCATTTCTGTACTTTTTTCCCCAGTTATCCAGGGTTCGTTTTTATTTTTTTATTTTTTATTTTTGGTTTTATGAGACAGGGTTTCTCTGTATTGTTTTGGAGGCTGTCGGTCCAGCCTGGCCTCGAACTCACAGAGATCCGCCTATCTCTGCCTCCCGAGTGCTGGGATTAAAGGCGTGCGCCACCACCGCCCGGCTAGGGTTCATGTTTTAATGCTCTGATTGTAATTTGGCTCTCTCTTCCCTTTTCCACAGTGAGACACACACTTACCAGAAGCCACGCCCACCGAAGAAGTTGCCGAAGCAGAAAATTTGTCCCTTGCGACGCGCCGTCCTCACGTTGCCGTGCGCAGGCGCAGTTCCTGGTTCGGCAGCGTGTTCCTTTTCCCCCAAGTTCCTGGTGTCCCGGCCGGGGAGCGACACCGGCTTTTAGGCGGTCTCAGGGCTCCAGCGTCGGGCTCTGGTGTGTCGCTCTCGGTCCTCCAGCTCGGGGCCACTGCTCGTGCGCGCACGCCCACCCGCACGCGGCGAACTCATGGCGGAGCGCGGGGAACTCGACCTGACCGGCGCCAAACAGAACACCGGCGTGTGGCTGGTGAAGGTAAGACGCGAGCCCCGGGGCGCCTCCCTCCCTCCCCTGTCTCCGAAAGTCCTGGGCCGGCCCGCCCCGAGCCACCCCTTCCCGAGAAGAGAGGCCGCCGCGGTCGCGTCCGTCCCCAGGCTAGAGAAGTTACTTTGGGGGCGCGGGGCGTCTTTGAGGCGTCTCTCGGGGAGCCCGCCCGGCATGGGGCTCTCTCTCAGGGAACTGCCCCGACGTTCCCAGAGGGAGCCTTTCACCCCGGGCCGGAGGCGCTTCCTTTTGGTGAAGTTGACTTTAGTCTCAGATCTGAACGCCTTAGTTGAGTCGATATCCCGTATAGTTGTGTGGTCCACAAAGTGGAACTAGCCCCTGTGTTCTTTGTTTTTTGAAGCCCTGGATGTAGATGTAGACCCTCGCCTCTGCTATAGCGGTCCCTGGGCTGGTGGTAATCCAGACGGAGCTTTCGAAAGACCTGGAAGTTGGGAATTTAGGAAGCAGGAGCTGTTGGGCTCCCCCCAACCCCCAGACAGGGTTTAACCTGCGTGATTGTGTTGGGTATCCTGGAACTTGCTCTGTAGACCAGGCTGGTCTCGAACTCACACATCCGCCTGCCTCTGCCTCCCGAGTGCTGGGATTAAAGGCGTGCACCCCCCATCCCGGGGGTGGGGTGGGATTTAGAGTTTTAGAGAGAAAGTTTAGATCTCATGACACTTCAGTAAGTATTTTTTTATGGTTATGGCAAGCTTTGTCTATCCTTATTTGGCTTACTTTTGCACACAGGGAGGGGGGTACTCTTTGGGCAATTTCCTTTTAGAAAGCCATATTTAAATGGAATCGTGAAAGTTTTTCAAATTCACTGGAACTTTTGGTTTATGAATGCTTTATCTGTATAATGAATGTCAATGTTTTAGTTACATGGCTGAGTGCTCATTAAGTCGAGAATTTTCTTCTGTCCACTTCTCTGAAACAGCTCATCATTTGCCAGCACATCAGACTGTGTTAAATTCCTCAAAGCACTTTACACAGTTTCCGGTGATTCTTTGTGCCTGTATCCAGTGTGACCTGCCACCCCCACCTTCCGCAAAGTTACTTTCTTTGCTCTCCAGTTAGTGTTAGGCTTTTCCTATAAATCATACCGAGTGTAAGATCTCTTTCTCTTCAGCCTTCACTTTGGCTCTCATTTGTCAGAGTCTGTCTTTATGGAGGTCTCCCTGGTACACAGAAGGGAAGAGCTTGCAAAAATGTTGGGACTTGAGTTGATGCCTTTGTGTTTGGAGAATGGCAGATACTCATTGTTTGCCTTGCAGGCTTTGGGTGGGTACAGTGGTATGACAGCGGGAACAGAAATGCCAGCTGGAAAATGCATGCAGCCTTGTGAATCCTGCAAAGGGAACAGGAGGCCCTAGAGCAGAGGGTGGCCTACATAAAGGTTGAAGTCAGGGTTTGGGATTGTCATTTCATGAAATGAAAATGTCCTGGCTTTAGTTTAAGTTAGGGTTGCAATCCCAGCACTCGGGAGGCAGAGGCAGGCGGATCTCTGTGAGTTCGAGGCCAGCCTGGTCTACCGAGCGAGTTCCAGGACAGCCTCCAAAACAATACAGAGAAACCCTGTCTCAAAAAACCAAAAAAAAAAAAAAAAAAAAAAAGTAGGGTTGCAAAACATTATATCAGAAAAATAGTAAGTTTGGCGTCCTGCAGCGTGGCTAGAGGAAACGGTAACTGGCGTTGGAAACTTGCAGGGTCATAAGTATGTGCTGATGAAGAATTAGGGAGGCTTGTTCTGTACCAATTGATGGAATTTTGGTGGCAGCTTTTCCTGAAAGGAACTCTGTTCAAGCCATTGTTTTGTGCCTGTTTTCTGTTGTGTAGAAAGAAAGGAGAGTACTGAGCTGTGTCAAGTAAAACCAACAACTTCCTACCTGGCAGACATCTATTCCCATCACCTTCCTCTGCAAATGTGTTCTGCTCATTGTTAGAGGAGGGACTCACTCTGTGTGCATGGGATGACCTTTATTCAGCTGCCACCAAGCTCAGCCTTTACTTTTTCACAGACACAAGCTAAAATGGGTGGGAGTTAGTCTTGTCAGTTTCAGTGGATTAACAGCTAAGAGTTTAGGTTCTGGGTATGTTTGTGGTGCTGTTTCTGGAGACAAGCAATTCATGAGGCTGTGATCTAATTAATGGACTCATTAATGACTCCTTTGGTGGATTCATACTATGGTTTCTCTGAGAGCTGGTGAGGTGGGGAACTAGTTGCAAGAAGTAGATCCTCACATTGTGTTCTTAGGGGCTGTGTCTTGCCCTGGCCCTTTCTGTATCCTCTTCATCTTGGCGTTGTGGTGTGAGCAGCGGTGCTCTTCCTTGCTTTTCCCACCACAACAGACAGTGCAAAAATGACTCTTAAATTGTGTCTGTCAGGTACTAACTACGGTAACCAAAAGTGGTTGATGCAGATAACACAGCGAAGGCTTGTAAGTAACAGGACAAAAGAGAACCTCTTCTCTTCCTCTCTCCTTCCCCTTTCTATGTCTGGGCTGACCTGGAACTCACTCTGTAGCCCAAGTTGGGCCTTAAACACATGGCGATCCTCCCACCTCAGTATGAGCTAGAACACACATGCTTCTTGTATATTTATGTTATAAATTAAAGCTACCAAATAGATACTGCTGTGGTGGTTCACACCTTTAATCCGAGACCTTGTTTACGTAGTGAGTTCCAGGCCAGTCAGGAACATACTAAGACCCAGAGGCCAGACAAGGGCATTATATTATAAATGGTTGTGAGATACCATGTAAGTGCTGGGAATTGAACTGAGGTCCTCTGGAAAAGCAACCAGTGCTTTTAATGCTGACCTATCTCTCATCCCCTAATCCATGTGGTTTTTGAGATCCGCTGTACACAGTCTCACATAGCTTTATTGCTGAGTTGTATCACTAGCCCTAGTGTGTGACTAGTTGGTTTTCACATCTGTAGAAAGGGAGAGTGCATGTGTGTGTGCACAGAGTGACTGAGAGGATGGATGGATGGATGGATGGATGGATGGATGGATGGATGGATAGTGGATGCAGAATTTCGAGCATGGAGTCTCACAGAGCTGTCCTCTTGCCTTCCTCTTTTCTAGCCTTAGGCATATTATCTGGCATGTATTTGTAGTTCAGTAAGTTAATGTGACAAACATACACAGAGTTGAATAAACACAGTCTGTTTTTACCCCTTTGTTTTTTTAGCCTTAACTGTAGTCAAGGTCTTCTACCCAATAATGAAATCTTGCTAGACTTTTTTCCCTCTTTCCAGCCGTGACACCATATCTTAGTTGTGCTTTTGTATTGATGATGATATTCTAAGTTTACTATGAGAAATACTGATGACAGTGATACTCATTGAATATTTAGTCCACACAGCACATTATGCTTTATTCTATATTTATAGTCTTTCCTTGACTTCTCAAAACAGAATAGCCTTAACAGTATGTACTGATTTCAGGGTCTACACTACTTTGAAGAAAGAGACAAATTACATATCAGAGAATTAATATATTATTCCATTTTTCCTTCTTAGAAGTTAACCCCTGGTGACTGCTATATCTTGTTTTAGACATGGTATTTGTATGATTGAGAGTGTAGTCCCTGGCACATAGACTCTGGAGATGGTTGGCTTGAATCCTAGCTCTATCATTTACTAATTATATAACCTCAGGGAAGGTATATGAGCTCTGGGTATCCATAATCATCATGAAATGTTTTTGCTTCATTTTAGGTTCCCAAATATTTGTCCACGCAATGGGGTAAAGCCTCTGGAAGAGGTGAAGTTGGGAAACTGAGGATTGCCAAGTAAGTTATTTATATACGTATATAGTGCATAAACTATAAAAGTTAAAAGCTATTGTTTTTTAAAATGTTTATAGTTGCTTCTGAATGTGATCATATTCTTAGAGAATTTATTTAGAGGTTGAGAGTTACTGGTCATATTAAAGCAGGTCATGGGATACTTGTATATTCTGTGAGGACATAGGTTTGTGTGTGTGTGATAGGTAGTGTGAATATAAAGTTAAATTTATTGGTGAAACTGGCTGACAGAGGAGCAAATGATGGGATCTCCCTAGCTCTCCCATCTGTTCCTGGTGTGCAGAGGTATGCTCACATTAGGCATACATAGAAAGTACTTTGATGGAAGGACTTTGCTAGTGACATCGTGCCTGGCTGCAGGGCTCTGGCAGGAGATAGAGACCAGCACAGGACAAGCCTCAGATGCTGAGTTGATGTCACCTGAGGCTTTGTGTTCTAATTTTTTCCCATTCATTCATTCATTCATTCATTCATTCATTCATATTTATTGCCCCTCTTCTATAAGGTGGTTGAATCCAGGTCTTCCGTGTTAGGAAACGTTTTATCACTGAGCTTCATTGCCAGTCCTGTTCCTCTACTTTGTCTGTCTGTCTGATCTGTCTTGTTTTTTTAAGACAGGGTTATTACTCTTGTGTAGCCCTGGATGTCCTCCTGGATGTCCTGGAATTTTCTCTGTAGACCAGACTGACCCTGAACTCAAAGATCCACCTGTCTCTGCCTCCTGAGTTTGGGATTAAAAGTGTATGCTACTGTGCCTGACTTCACCCATCCATTAAATAAATATTATTTTATTTTTTTCCAGTTTTTTATTTTTTAAAATAACTTATTGTTTTATGTGCATTCATGTTTCTCCTATATGTCTGTCCGTGTGAGAGTCAGAAATCTTGGAGTTGTAGATAGATATGGGCTGCCATGTGGGTGCTAGAATTTGAACCCAGGTCTTCTGGAAGAGCAGTCAGTGCTCTTTAACCGCTGAGCCATCTCTCCAGCCCCTAAAATATTATTTTACTATATGTGGGTTTTGCCTGTATGTATGTCTATGTACTACATTCTTGCCTGATGCTTGAAGAGGTCAGAAGGGCATCTGATCTCTTGGAACTGGAGTTACAGTCAGTTGTAAACCACTATGAGGATGCTGAAATTCAATCCCGTTCCTCTAGAAGAGTAGCCCCTGCTCTTGACTGCTAAATCATCTTTCTATTCAACTCCAGTGAGATTCCCATGCCTACCACTTCACTGAAACAGCTCTCTCCTATCTGTTACCAATGTCCCCGTCTTTATCAGTTAGCTTTTGTTTCATAGCAGAACTTCAAAAAATTGTTATTTGTCACAGTTCTCTGGATTTGTTCTGGTTGGGCTAACCTGGCAGTCCTTCCTGACTGGACTGGCCATGTTAATATAGGATGGCTTCCTTATCAGCTGGGTAGTGCCCATCTGTTTTCCTCCATGTTTCATGTGGTGGTTAGAGTTCCCAGTACCAAAAGAAAAGAGGGCCTATAGTTCTAGCAGTTTGCAGGTCTGAGCTGTGTCTGTTTCCTAAAGACCTGTTGGCCAGAACCAAATTCAAGGGTCTGCAACAGATTCCGACACCAAAGAATTTGTTGCTTTGATTACTTTTATTCCACATCTACATTCCCAACTCTTCAGAATCAGATGGCAACCATCTTGATTGGCCCTCATCAGAATTTGACGTAGTTAATCGCTTCTTTCCTTAAAACTGTTATCCATCACTTCAGGACAACACTCTGCTGCCCCTCCCTTCATTGTCTCCTCCTTTGGATCTTGATAGGTTCCCTACCCCAACTCAACTCCTTAATTTACATGACCCCTCCTCTCAGTCATCAGTTCTTCTCTTTTCATTTTAAGTGGTCTTTGTCTCTTCTCCTAGCTTTAAATGCAAATGATGTTTAAATGTCTGGCTCTAGGCTGGTGATGGCCATCTCTTCCTTATTCCCCCAGGGGTGTCTCATGGGCATCTCCAGCTTAGTGATTGCTACCTGCTTTTGTCAGCAGCAACTCCTTCTGGTAGCCCCGTGGCTTGCTCCCACACTCTTTGTCAGCAGCAACTCCTTCTGGTAGCCCCGTGGCTTGCTCCCACACTCTTTGGTCCCCATCAACATAGCAGCTCCCCCAGGGCTTCCTGACCACCCATAGGAAATAGCACACCATGGTTTCTACCTCCTCCCTCCTTTTTTCTTGGGTCTTTTCTTTATTGTACTTGACTTTTTTTTCACTTACCTGCTCTTCTTATCTTACCTATTATGTATTTACGTATTATTTATCTTTTCTGGTGTACTGTAAGTGCTACAAGGTCAGGAGTTCTTTTTTTTAGTAATCGTATTTCTGGCCTTTAGAACAGTGGATGACATGGAACACATTGAGCAGAGTTTTGTTGAATCAGTCAATAAAAGAAAACTTCTAAGACAAGTTTATTAAAAATAGCTGTTTTACTCTGTATTTCTTTATACGGTAGTTCCAAAATTGACAGCTAGTAAACAAGAGTGAACATTTTAGGGCTTAAATTTTCCTGCTTTTCTCCTGAAGTATGGAGTTTATGTCCCCTATCCCTCAGATACCTAGTATCAGTGAAAATTACTTTTCAGGGGCCAGTTTAAAGCTTCCTCAAGAAAGACCATCACTCTGGAGTTAGGTTTATTAGCTTCTGGGTTTTGATATGACTTGTCTTGACAACTTGATACTTCTTTGTTCTACTTGTTTTGTCTCTTAGTTCTTTGTTTCTTATGTGTGCTTGTGCACATGTGTATATGCATGTTTAAGTATGTTCAGGTAGAGCGTGTGTGTGTGTGTGTGTGTGTGTGTGTGTGTGTGTGTGTGTGTGTGTAAAATTCCTTACTGATGATTTGGTATTAGATAACCAGTTGGTGTGCTCTTCCCTGGGGAAGGATATTTCTCCTCATCTCAGCATTCCTTTGGTGCCTGTAGTTCTTTTTTAAGGTTGAGGCTTTATGGGAGTTATGTTATTATATTTCTTGGTGTTGCCCTTCATTATGGAAGAGGGGTTGGGAAGAGTATAAGAGTCAGAGAAACAGGGAGTTTGCTCTGCTATCATATCTCCTAGAAATGTCAGAAGGACTTAATAATTTCTTATGTTAAGTTTTACTGAAATGGGAGGCCATACCAAGATGAAAGCTGAGACATGTCATTGAAGAAAAAGCAAAGGCAAAAAACTTTGTTTATACACCAAGCCCTTATCATGTGCAGTTTATGACTTCACTGGACACAGGACCTGGCTTCTCCTCCTGAGAAGTTGCACATAGCTGTTGACTGTTGGAATGTTATTTTAAGGTGTGTGACTTTTGTTTATGCTGCGTTTGTTTAACTCTTCTAAGCTGTGATTTTCTGTCTAAAACACCTGATGGTCTATTAAAGAGGTGAATGGCCAATATGGAAGAAGGAGCAAGGATAGACAGGGCTGGCAGGCAGAGAGGATAAATACAAGGAGAAATGAGGAAAGGAGCAACAAGAGAAGGAGAGAAGAACATGAGTGGTCAGCCACCCAGTCAGGCACAGAGTAAGACGGAAAGTAAGATATACAGAAGTAAGAAAGATAAAAGCTCGGAGAGAAAGGTAGAAGGGCTAGAAACAAGCCACTCTAAGGCCAGGCAGTCATCACTAATCATAAGACTCCATGTGTGATTTGTTTGGGTGCTGGGTGGCGGGTCCCCCAAAGAGCTGAAAGAGTGAAAAACAATTCAAGCAACAGTTGGCTCTGGGAATTACTCTTCTAAGCATTAGCATCCTTTTTTTGTGAAGTGTGAATATTAATATTAATGCCTCCCAACACACAGGATAGTGTTTATAAGACAATAGGCACTTAGGGTTTGTTAAGTAGCTTTGTAACTTAGATATGTCCTTACCGTGAACATTGCATTTCTGTAAACCTGTACAGTGACCATTGCCTATTGGAGGAATGTCAGATCTCTCTTGGTATGAGAGACTGAGACTTACAGGAACAAGTTTCAGGGAAGTCGTGAAAGCCCCAGTATTGCATTGACCACTGAAGTAAGATGTTACAGGAGTTGTTCAAATGAGCAGTGATGACTGTGCTTCCATTCTTCATTGGCGCAAGCACCCCTGCTTACTTACTGAGCCAGGGAGTGTCAGTCAGGCTGGGTCAGAGGGTTCTCAGCAAGACTGAGGCTGAGACAAGTTTATTTCAAGCAATCAGACTTTTTCTACTCTTTTTTTTTTTTTTTTTCTCAAGACAGGGTTTCTCTGTATTGTTTTGGAGGCTGTCCTAGAACTCGCTCTGTAGACCAGGCTGGCCTTGAACTCACAGAGATCCGCCTGCCTCTGCCTCCCAAGTGCTGGGATTAAAGGTGTGCGCCACCAACGCCCGGCCGACTTTTTCTACTCTTACTAAAACAAAATGTAATGGTAGTTGCCAGGATACAATGATGATTGCAAACTAGATGTGGTACCCAAGATTAATGTCTAAGACAAACTGTTCAGTCGAGCTCCTATATCATTGGTTCCACCCTTTGGGGGTTGAGCTACCCTTTTGCAATGATCACCTAAGACCATCGGAAAACAGATATTTACATTACAGCTCATAACAGTAGCAAAGTTAGTTATGAAGAAGCAGCAAAAATAATTTTATGGTTGGGGTCACCACAGCATGAGGAACTGTATTAAAGTTTTACATGCAGCATCAGGAAGGTTGGGAACCACTGTTCTATGTGCTTCACTGACTTCTAGGGAATGCTAGGACACACAGATGGCCTGAATCCTTCACTGCCTGAGGGAGTGCCTCAGTTTCTCAGGAACCTGAAAAAACCATGACACATGCCTCTCAAGGCAGCTAGGCCAGACCAACTCCGTGATTCCCTGCACATTAGTAGGAAATTTCAAGCTCCCTTTCCCCTTCATTTTAAAGCAGGTGTCTTAACATAGTTGCATCTAGTATTCATAGGTGGTCATACCTACAGGTTTGCTTTGATCAGTCCCCATTGATAGATTTACCT